GCCGGGGCGGGGCGGGCCCGCAGCTGCAGGGTCGGTTGCGTGTTGAGCAGGTCGTGCTGGGCACATAGCGGAGGTCAGGTACGTTGTTACAGTCGACTTTACCTGTTTCTTCTCACCCTGTTGCTCTGGCTACTCGGACAGGTGCGGTTCCGTGTGTGGCTCGGAGGGTGTTTCTCTTGTTCAGCGCTGGCCTGGGGCCGTCATCTGTGGGCCGCTGGCCTCGAGGTCGGGATGAGCGCTCTGAGCCGCTGGCTCTCTTTTGTCTGTGCACCAGCTCCAGGCCTGCTGGTGAGCTGCACGGTCCTCACCTCAGCGCTGTGGACGTGTGGAGCCGGATGATCTGTCCTGTGCGTTGTAGGGTGTTTAGTGTTGCATTCGGCTAGACGGAGAAAAGGGAGGCCCGAGCCAGCCGCTATTTCAGCCAAGAAGCTTTATTCCACCTGCGTGGAGGGGAGATCAAGTCATATCAGCTCCTACCCCCGTACAGACTAAAATGGTTTTATAGGGTTTGATTTAGAGGAAGGGCGTTGGGTGGTCGTTTTTTTTGTTTTTTTTTGTTTTCCCTATATAAAGATGACCGGTAAGGGGATCTCAACCCTTGGCTTGGTGCTGTCAGCACCACGCTCAGCCAGTGAGCCAACCGGCCATCCCTATATAGGATCCGAACCCGTGGCCTTGGTGTTATCAGCACCGCACTCTACCGAGTGAGCCACAGGCCGGCCCCTGGGTGGTCGTTTTTGCATAAGAATCTTTTGCACAGATTCCGGTTTTTCTTGGAAAGCAAGGGAGCAGGAGGCGGAAAGTTGATTAACCTGAGATAGGGAAGGGCAAGGGGCAAGAAGGTGGAGCGTTGCTTATCATGGCTGTGCTGATGTTAAGCCAGTCGTGAGGCCTCCCCTCACTAGATTCCAGTAGCACCACCTCCGAGTTGTGACAGCCCAAAATGTCCCCTGGGTGGGAGAGAAAAGGGGGACAAAATCATCCCTGGTGAGACCAGCGGTATACGGTAGGGGATATTAGTGCTACCCTAGTACTACTCTTCAGTAGTTAGAAACTCTGATGTGGGGGCCGGCCCGTAGCTCACTCGGGAGAGTGCGGTGCTGATAACACCAAGGCCGTGGGTTCGGATCCCATATAGGGATGGCCGGTTAGCTCACTGGGTGAGCGTGGTGCTGACAACACCAAGTCAAGGGTTAAGATCCCCTTACCGGTCATCTTTTAAAAAAAAAAAAGAAAAAGAAACTCTGATGTGCAGATTACGGGTAGAGAGAGCTGGGTGAAAGTCTCAGGTGTTTCACCTGTAATCCCTGGCAGTATCACCTGCTTCCCAAGGCTGCCCAGATTAATGAGACATGTATGTCGAATAGTACTGGCATGCGTGGCTGTCACTGTCATGGTTAATTGCTGTGTTCGGGGTGTATGTAATCCTGTCTTCCTGTTTGACCTTACAGAAATCTAAATAACCCAGTCTCCCCACCCCTGTACCCCACAAAAGCAGATGATTTCTACCAAATGAGCATTTAGCCTCCATTTGGACATCCTAGAACACATTCACCCCCTCCCGAGGAAGCTTGGCCCCCATCGGGCGTTCTGCGGCCAGTCAGCTGCCTTTGTACGCACTACACTCCCCCACCTTCAGGCCTGGTGCTCCACCTGGGGTATGCCTCTGAACCAACAGCCTAAGTGCTGCAGACAGCCTTCCCTTCCCAAGAGGCAGAGGCCCCGGGGATCTGTGTCTTCCTGGCCCCTGTATCCAGCCACAGGCAGGCGGCAGTGACTATCAAGTAGAATTGAATGGATCTGTTGTCTGGTGTCCGGTCAATGGAGCATCCCTGCTTTGTGTTCCTGCAGTCTCAGGCCAGGCTTGGATGATCCTGAGAGATGCCAGGCAGGCTCCTCCCTTTCCTCCTCCCACTCCCTCACTCACCCCTCCCGCCTCTGACTTTCTCTCCAGGAAAAGTGGAAGCTCAGCACGTGCTGGCCAGCGCGCCAACAGACAGGAACCTCTGCCGCTTCCGGGTGAGCAGGGTCCCAGCCTCTTCACGGAGGGGTGCTTCCTCTCAGGGGCCCAGGGTGGCTCTTCTTGGTTCCTGTTGCACCAAGACAGTTATCAGGGCCAGGAAAGTGTGGCTTATTTAGCTGAAGTTTGGAGACTGTCTGGGCTGAGCTGGGGAAGGGGGGTCAGCGGCCAGGAGAAAAGTCAAGGTTGTGGAGGGTTAGAGCTGAATGAAGGTATGTGTGAGCATGTGTGTGGTGCTGGGGTGATGGTCATGGGCATCCATTGGGGGCAGAGGGCTGGGTGAGTCTTGGGCATTGGGATTGGGGGGCAGGTATAGACACTCACAGTGGGAGAGGCCCACAGGGACCCATGGAAATGCAGGGTGTCCTCCAGCAGGAAGGGCTATAGGAGGGAGGACACCCTGCTCATGCAGCTGCTGGTCCTGGTCCTGGTGTCCCCGTGCAGGCTCTGGGTTGCCAGACTACCCACTCCAACCAGGAGGTGCTGCGGAGCTGCTTGCTCATCATCTTTGCCACTAAGCCCCACGTCCTGCCAGCTGTCCTGGCAGAGGTGGCCCCTGTGGTCACCACTGAGCACATCTTGGTGTCTGTGGCTGCTGGGGTCTCTCTGAGCACCCTGGAAGAGGTGAGTGCCCCTGGGTGTGAGACCTTGACCCTGGTATGGGTTATGCTGGCCAAACTCAGGTGGCTGGGTTAGGGCTCATTCCTGGTGCTGTGCCTGGAAAGCAGGAACTGGAGTCTGCAGCTGGCCGAGGTGTGTCAACCCAGAGGCTTGTTTTCTGGGCCTGCCCAGCAGGGCCCAATCCCACAGGCTCCCTGATTCTAACCTCTCTCTGGCCAGCTGCTGCCCCCAAACTCACGGGTGCTGCGGGTCTCACCCAACCTGCCCTGCGTGATCCAGGAGGGTGCCATGGTGATGGCGCGGGGCCGCCATGCTGGGAGCAGTGAGGCCAAGCTCCTGCAGGACCTGCTGGAGGCCTGTGGGCAGTGCGAGGAGGTGCCTGAGGCCCACATGGATATCCACACCGGCCTCAGTGGCAGCGGCGTGGCCTTTGTGAGTATGGTCTCACCCATCCCCCGGCAGAGGGGCCCTCCCAAGTCCCTGTGATGGCCTCTGCCATCAGAGTGCAGCCCTGGGCTGTGTGAGCTCTGCTCTCCCCTGACCTTCACTGCCTCGGTGAGCCTCTGAGGCTAGCCCCTTTGCAGATCCCTGGGTGCAGGCCTTGGCCCTGAGCACCCATGGCTGGTGCCAGCGGCGTGGCCTTTGTGAGTATGGTCTCACCCATCCCCCGGCAGAGGGGCCCTCCCAAGTCCCTGTGATGGCCTCTGCCATCAGAGTGCAGCCCTGGGCTGTGTGAGCTCTGCTCTCCCCTGACCTTCACTGCCTCGGTGGGCCTCTGAGGCTAGCCCCTTTGCAGATCCCTGGGTGCAGGCCTTGGCCCTGAGCACCCATGGCTGGTGTTCTGGGCTTCATTCCCGAAGGTTCTGAGCCTTCTCCTGGCTGGGTGCCATGTCCAGGGAGTGCTGGCTTTGACACCCCTCCCATGCTGTGACTTCAGGTGTGCACATTCTCTGAGGCCCTGGCTGAAGGCGCTATCAAGATGGGCATGCCAAGTAGCCTGGCCCACCGCATCACTGCCCAGACCCTGCTGGTGAGTGAGGGGGTCCCAGGGGAACGTTGGAAAGGTCAAGGCCTGTGCCACCTCCAGTAGACAGGAGAATGGCAGGCCCAAGAAGCCTGGGCCAACGTCGAGGCTGCCCTGGCTCCCCTGAGTCACTAGCCCTGAATGCCCTTCTCCCCAGGGGACGGCCAAGATGCTGCTGCAGGAGGGGCAGCACCCGGCCCAGCTGCGGACAGATGTGTGCACGCCGGGTGGCACCACCATCTACGGGCTTCACGCGCTGGAGCAGGGGGGGCTGCGAGCGGCCGCCATGAGCGCTGTGGAGGCTGCCACCAACCGGGCCAAGGAGCTCAGCAGGAAGTAGGGTCCAGGCTCTGGGTGGAAGCCACCAGCCTCCTTGCCCACTCGTGCCACTCGCAGCCCTCCCTTTGTCCTTTCCCTGAGGACTGTGGCTCTCCCTCCATCCTGCATGAGTGTCTCGAGCTGTTCCCACTCCCCCTGTACAGGGAAATCAGGGAACCCCACACCAAGGGGACACTCCACCCACTCCTCATGGGACAGAAGGCACCATGGTGGCAGCCTGCTCCTAGTGAGCCTGCCATAACGCGTGACATCGGCTCTGAGGGGCCAAGAGCTGGTATCTTGGTTGTGTGCCTGCATGGTGAGGCATTGGTTGAGGCTGCAGCAGAGCTGCAGGCAAGAGCAGCTGGATGGGCGGGCACCCTGTTCCCTCCTTGGATTCCCAATAGCTCTGTGCAGCTGTGGCCAGGCCAGCTCTCATCTCAGCTCTGGGGGGGACAGGGACACATTCAGTCTGCACAAGAGACCCCTTCCTCCTGGGGCAGAGGGGCCCCCTATAGGGAGCTAGAGCCACACCCTGCCAGCCCCTAAGAGAGCAGGTTGTGTGCTCTTCCCTCAGCCGAAGGGGCGAGGGCAGGAGCAGGAGCTAGAGCTGTACCTGTACCCCAGAGCCCACATGGCAGAGCTGTGCTGGGTTGGGGCTGCTGCCATGCTCAGGGCAGCACCAGAAGGGCGGTGGGCAGGTGGAAGGGCTGCTCGATGTCTGGGAGTGGGCCCTCTCACTCAGCTGGCTGTGAGCTCCCTCCTTCCCCCCGACCCTAAACTGGCAGGTTGCCAGGTGGAGCTGGGCCCTTATGACCCTCTGCTGGGTCAGGAGTCCTGGAGGGGCCTGTGGACCTGGCACCACCACACTGACTTGACTCCAGTATTTCCCTTACTGGACCAACAGGTCAGGAAAGCCAGGACCTGGGGGAGTGAGGCCATGGACTGAAGGCCGGGCTCTGGGGCCTTTGGGTGGGGAAGGCCCAGATCAGACCATCCGCAACTCTGCCCCCTACACAGGACACTGTCCCCAAGGCTCACCTGGGTCTCACCCCACCTTGCTTCCGCCCAGCAGCCTGGCAAGGCGGGGAGTGCTGTCAGTGTGGCTTGGTAGCAGTTCCAGCTGTGCCATTACCAGCTGCCTGACTTTAGGCGAGTTAATCCTGTCTATAAAACAGGGCTAAGGGCACCTAAACAGCAGGAACGGTTCCATCCCTCACAGCCACAGCCTCTCGTCCTCCACCCACACCCCCTCAACCCCCACACCCCAAAACCTGTAGCCTCTGCCTTCCCCCTAGTTGAGAGGTCAACCCCGTGCCCAGACCTCCCACCCCCAGCCTCCCCCAGCCTCCTCGGCAGGCAGACAAACAGGCAGGCTCTCAGTCAACCACCGCTGGGTCCGGCCCTGGCCCCGCCACTTGTCAGAAGTGTCGATCTAAGTCGGTTTCACGCTGTGATTTCCTCATCTGTGAAATGGGAATAAAGATACCGAGAGCACTGGGTGGGCTGACGTTTAATGGAGGCTGATAACGCCAAATCCCACGTGCCCAAAGCCTCACCTTGCTGAGGCCACAGGCAGTGTGCATGGCACAGGTTTCCCACTCTGGCTGCAGGTCACCATCACTGCCAGCTCTGCCAGCTTCCCCTGCACTGTGAGGGTCAATCCAAGGGCTGTGTGCCAAGGTGGGCAGGTTTGGGAGCCCAGGGTCTGGTGCAGGCTGCCCCTGCAGGACCTTCTTGGGCAGCGCTTCTCAGGGCCACCTGCGTTCACACTGACAGGGAGCCAGCCCATCTGCAAAATGAAATCACTGTTGAATATGACCCAACACCTGTCTCCCATCTCCCAACAGAATCCCTGGGGGCCAAGTTGGTGGGCTTAGCTTGGCAAGGCAAGAGACACCTCCATCACCCTGAGCAAGGGGCTTCAGTGGAAACCCAGGCCCAGCTGGTTATGACCTGTGACAAGGACGTTTTTTTTGAGGGAAAGCTCTGGGGAGGTGGGCAGAGCCATGATCTTGTGTCAGCTAGGCCTCTTCTTTGCCCTATACTGCAGACTAAAATTACTGTTTTTCATGATAGAAACTGGTGGATGCGATCATGGTGTCTTCTTTAATCACTATTGTCCCACTTTTATGCCCCTCCCACTCTTTTAATCTATGGGGTGTTTCAGATCCAAGCATTGAACCAAGAGTTACAAAAGTAGCACTTTAAAACAGGGACACTTCTGAAGGTGACATGTTCAACCTTTATTACATAAAGCGCCATTGGGCCCTTCCCATCAGGTGAACTCAGCCGTAAGCAAGGCGGGGCGTTAGAGGAAGGGACCCTCAACAGAGTGTAAGCCCCGCAAGCCCATGGTCCTCTCTTGAGGACACACCCTTGGGGTCAAGCCTCATGCTTGGGCACACTTGGCCAGGGGCCAGACTGTGCCCAGCTCCAGCTGAGCTCCCCATGGGCAATCCTAATTAGATAGTGTCAGGGCTGGGATCCACAGAGGACCAGCTTCCCCACCTTGGGGATCCTCTGCTTCCTCTCCCACCACATTCTGATGTTTCATTTGCAGCCCAGCTGACATCCAGGCAGTCACCTCCCAAACCTGCAGACCCCTGGGAGCGAGGTCTTTTCAACCTCCTGAAAATAGGTCGGTGGTGGTTTCCACAGAATCCTGCCCTCACTCATCTTTCTGTCCTAGATGTTTTCCCTTCCCCGGGCCCTCCCCCAAGCCCAGGAGGTCTGACAAGGACCCTGAGGCAGGGGCCACCAACTGGAGGAGCAGTGGCTTGCCTTGAGCCTCGCCATGGCGCCATGCACCGCAGGCTGCACTTCCCAGGCCGCAGGGCGCCCCACAAGAATGAATTACAGCTTTAATTACCTCACTCTGTTATCACAAACCACAGGGGCGAACTCAAATGCCCACGGGCCAGCAGGCAATAGCCATGGGGCAGACCAGGCAGGGATGCACCTGAGAGCACGCCGCCCATCTAAGGGTTCCTGCCACCCAGCCCAAGTCCACTGCAGCCACAAGCCCTGGGCTCTGCCCCACACCTCAGACTGAGCTGAGCCCACAAAGGTAGGGTGACTGTGAGCTCCTGGCAGAACTGGGACTGGGGTCCCAGGCCCTACCTGCCATCTGCACAGCTGCAAGCCCAGGGCCAGGCACCCAGGCATGGCAGCCTCTTCTTGAGCAGGGCTCAGTGGCCTGAGCCTGTGCCCCGCGGCACACATGGGGCCACCAGTAGGTCCCGTTCTAGAAAGACACCTTCTGAGCCCTCTCATGAGGGGTTTCCCAGCCCAGCATATGCTGGCAGCCAGACCCACACTTAACAGGAAGCTCCTGCACCTGCCTTGTCTATAGAAAGTGACCATTTAGGACCACTTCCTGGGTGTTGGGTTCCCAGATGAGAGAGGGATGGGACCAGAGAGGCAGGCCAGAGCACTCACTCTGACCCTCGCTGTCCTAGACACCCACACAAGCCTCCCTAGGCCCGTTGGGTTCCCAGATGAGAGAGGGATGGGACCAGAGAGGCAGGCCAGAGCACTCACTCTGACCTTCGCTGTCCTAGACACCCACACAAGCCTCCCTAGGCCCAGGAGTCTAACAGAAGGGCTGAGACAAGAAGGTTGGAGATGGAAACCTCGCCAGCGGAGCAGCTCTGAAGAGAAGTCAGGCTGCAAGACAGCTACCAGAGGCCACCCAGGCTGTGTCAAGGCCCAGGTGTGCAGTCCTCACCTGGCGTGTGTGGCTGAGACCACCTCTCCCCACAGCCCTGGGTGCTGGGACACTGGGGAGGCTGATGGCATAAAACCAGACTTCCTGAAGTCCAGCCCTGCTGCTCAGGTCAGACCCAGGGCTGGCCCGGCAGGTCGGGGCGGGGAAGAGAAGTGGCCAGAGGGGCCTCAGCAGGCACGGGGGAGACTGCTGCCCTAAGCCCGCTAGCCCAGCCTCGATTCTCCTGCTCTCAAATTCTCCACACCTTCCCTCAGCTCTCAGATTTGAGAAAGAAGTTGTTTTAGTTGGGGACAGTTCCAAGGAACTGTTTGTTCTCGGGCTTTTGTGGAAACCACTCTCGGGGGCTCCCTCCAGCTCAGCTGCCAGGCCGGTGCACACCCTTTCCTTCTGTGAATGGGCGGGCCCCTGCACTCAGGATCCTGATCAGAGGATACTCCTCAGAGGGGCAGGTGAGGACAAGGCGAGAGCGTCGGGAAGCAAGCGGCCTCTCCAGAACCAGTCCCCTGCCCCTCCCAGGGCTCAGCAGCACTCTACAAAAGCAGACTCCCTTCCCCCCAACAGAGTCACAGGCATTTCTCAGCCCCAGACCACCAGCAGGACTCTGAATTTAGAACTGGAAGGAGCAGCAGAACCATAGAGAACTGAAGTCGCTGGAGCCCTTTCCTCACTCTTTCAAACTGGGCCACTAGGAAACAGCTCCTCAGCCACATCTGGGCCGGGCCAGGAAAGGCAGAAAAGTGGGGGTTGAGAGAGCTGGGGCAGAAAGAGCCCACGGGGGCCAGCACTAAGGCACTGAGGCACTGAGGATCATCCCGTGGTGGCTGTCAGTGCCCGGGCCTGCTCCTGGGTACATCAGGTGGCTCCAGTCCCTGGACTGGACAGTGCCTGTAGCTGATGGGTAATCAGGGGAGCCTGTCCTGCACTGGTGAAGTCACCAGGGCCCAAATCCAGCCACTTGCCAACCCCATAGAAGAGATCTGTTCAGAACGGAATTTTCTGAAGGAAAACTAAAAGTCTGAGTGCAACAGAAATCTACACACCCTGTTGCCTCAGAACCCCAGGAAGCCCGAGAACTGGGCTCCATCCGACCCTCCCCACTCCACCATGATGCCCCGAGACCCACCCCCAGGTGGGGGGCTAGGTCTGGACTAAACAGTACCTTCAGGGCCTCCGGTCTCCAGAGCAATGGCAAGGGGCAGCCTGGAGACCACCCCACCCTGCCCTGTTCTCACAGCCCCCTCTGAAGAGTATCTTCTAAAAACGGATTTACTCTGTTAAGAAAAATAAAAAGTGGTGTGCTTCCCCACTGAGATGACCGCTGTGCTGTGGCATGGGACCACGGAGCACCAGGGCTGGTGTTAAGCCCTTGTCCAGTGCACATGACGGGCGGCTGGGGAGGGGAGGAGGTGAAGACGGGCTTGGGTCTGGAGGCCTCGGCCCCACAAGGACCAGAGGGGGAGCACAGGCCACTCCTCTCTGACAGGTGCTGTGCTTCGAGTGCTCAGCGTGCACGAGGGGACCCCACAGTGTGCTTGCCCAGGGAGGTGTTCGGGCCAGGGGCCTCTCTTGCAGCTATCGCCCCAGGAGACTGGGGGACTGGTGGGCAGCACTGCCTTTCACCAACAGAGCCTCTCCAAGCCAGGCTGAGCTTGGATCCCTGTAACTCCCTGTACCCACGTGGTGGGCCCCCCAGGGAAGGAAGAGGAGGGGAGATGGGAGACTGTGTCCCTTCCCTCCAAGTGCAGCAGGAGAAGCCACTGGACCAGCACGATCACACACCATCATCAGGGACAGCGGGGGAGGGCCCGATGCCCCCCAGCCTCCGCGCCATGCTGATGAGCGAGCGCAGTTGCACCAGCCTCAGCGGCCCCACCTCCCTGGGGTCCTGACTCTCCAGCCACCGCAGAGCTGTCTCCAGACCCCGGATGGCCTCCCCAGCGGTGGGCACCGAGGCCCCCCCACGCTCAGAAGCCTCCTCCTCCTCCTCCCCGCCCCCCATACCAGAAGGCAGGCTGGCTGGGGGCGGAGGGGCTGCAGGGGTCAGCGTGGGGGGCCGCGGAGGGCCCGCCTCCTCTCTGCAGCCCTCGGGCAGGCCCCCGTCATCGTCCAGGTGCAGCCACTCTGCTACCTCCTCAGGGGCCAGGCGGTTGTAGGCCAGAGCCGCCAGATGCGTGAGGTCGCTGAGCACCCTGCTGTGCTCGGCGGCCTCCGCGGCCTCCTCGGCCTGGCAGGCAGAGTGCCCAGCGCTGCCCTCGGTGGGCCGGGGCTCGAAGGCGGCCCGCAAGCCCAGCAGCCAGCAGCGCTCGATGCTGCCGGCCTGCACCAGGTCCCAGGAGAGCCCGGCCAGGTAGAGCATGTCCTTGAGCATGAAGCTGCGCATGAAGTCCAGCGGGGAGCCGCCGGCACAGGACACGGCCAGCCGCAGCAGCTCCCGCTTGTACAGCTGCTTGAAGGCGGCCACCACGCCCTGCTCCAGCGGCGCGGGGATGTGCGCCCGGCCGCTGCCCTTGCACAGAAACAGCACCCGCACAGCACCGTCCGGCGTCTGCAGCTCCTCCGGGGAACCCAGGGGCTCCGGCCGGCACCGCCTGGGGGTCTCTTCGCTCTCCTCCAGGGCAGGGATCCTAGTGGCCAGGCTCGGGCAGGGCGGGTGGGCCACCAGCAGCACGGCCTTCTGCTGCAGACAGCTCCGGCGCAGGTAGCGCCTGACGCCCGGGACGAACTCCTCGAAGAACCAGCCCCGCAGCAGCGGGCGGCTGAGCCAGGCGTCGGGGCTGTAGCGGTAGGAGGCCGGGAACTTGTCCTGGTTGTGGTGGCGCAGGCTGGGCGGGTCGGGCAGGTGCCCGATGACCAGCGGCTTCAGCTTGTGGCTGCCCGTCAGGTTGGCGGCCAGCAGCACCGTCACCNGGCGGGGGTGGCCGGGGGCTGCCCGCGCCCCGGAGGGGCCGGGCACCGGCCTGGTGGAAGCCCCCGCCGGGCCGCCGGGGCCTGGGGTCTCTGTTGGCCTCGTCTCCGTGGATGGCGAGAACATCAGCCTCACATGTCGCTCGGGAATGTAGCCTTGCCTTCGTCTAGCACGTGTTTATTAAGCATCTACCGCACGCCGGACTCTGGGCACAGAGGGGATAGGCACGGGGGCAGGGCCAGGGCAGTTTCTGGAAGGTGACGTCAAAGCCAGCCTCCGAAGGGCGCAGTGGTGCTGTTCCTAGTAGGCACGCACTTTCAGAGACTGTAAGTGGAAGGAAGAAGGCAGAGGGGGTGGGGTGGGGACCTGATGGGACATCAGGGCTGGTTTCCAGAATGAAGGGCCACCCCGCAGCCAAAGAGCTATTTGTGTAGTTAAACTTTAGTGGTGGTTCCTGCAACTCACCTCTGGGGGAGATGGGCATGGCAGGTCAGCTCGCGTTAGAAGGCTCCTGCAGTTCTGACCATCCCTGTCTTCTGGCCTCCATGGGCCTTTAAGTAGGCTGGTTCACACGCGGGTGGTCATTTTCTAAGCCCTTCTGTGTGCCCAGCCCACTGTTGGGGATGGGGGTGCAGCAGAGGCACCCTCCTGGACAGGGTAACAGGCAGATGTGACAGGAGCCCTGAGTGTCTCCTAGGCCTTTTTGCAGGGGCTGTCTGGGCCCAAACCAATTCCAAAGGGCAGCAGAGCCCAGGATCCATCTGGAGGCAGGCTGGGGGTTGGGGGATGGTCTGAAAGAAGGGCAGGTGCCCTTCCAGGCTGTGCGGTGGCCAGCCGCACGGGCGTCTGTTTCCTCATCCTGCAGCGGGGGGCAGCAGTGTCTCTTGTGGGCTGCTGGGTTTCACATGAACAGCTGGAGTGTGCTCTCCGCCAGCGGAGCCACCTTCTTGCCCTTGATGTGCTCGGGATGGCTTCCTGCCCTCTGGAGGATCCTGCTGCAGGGCCCGCCCCTGGGCTTTGCTCTTGGGGAGCCAGTGAGGCTGCAGGATTTAGCACGAGTGTGGGCACATGTGCTAGACAGGTGTTTGGTGAACAAAAAGAGTGCCTCTGCTGTGCTGTGTGCTGGCGTCAGCATTTTGGGGAGCATTTGCAGGGTCCTTGTCCTGTGCCAGTGTTGTAAGATGACAGGCGTGTCGGAAGCTGGTGGCAGGGAGACAGGCAAAGGATGGGTGTTGGAGCTTGCCACAGGTCCCCAGCTTCTCGCCTCACTGATTTTGCAGCCTTGGGCGGCCACACAGGCACCCAACCTTAGTTTCCTTGTGTGTAAAATGTCACACCCCTGTCCCACTGTGTGAGGTCTGGCATAGGTGTTGACAGGTGTGTGTGGAAGGGTCAAGGCATGCACAAGACTGGAGTTGCCCAGAAAGCACCGTGGCTGGATTGGGCCGAAGTGGTTGGGTCAAGCCAGGGCACCACGGGCTGAGACAGAAATAGAATGGATCTACAATGGCATTTAAGATGACATTGTTGGGGCTGGCTGGGCCTGGGGTGAGGTGGCTTGGGCTACTACAGCATCAACCATCTGGGTTTGAGGTGTGCAGAGCTTCTTTCGTGCCTCAGGACAGGTTAGCACTTGAGTAGAGCTGGAATGCCTAGCAGTCAGAGGCAGGAAAGTGGCTGTGTGGGAATTGGGAGAGTTTTTGTCCCTAAGAACCCAAAGGCATCGCTCCTGTGTGCACATAAGTAAGGCTGCCCTAGTCACGTTTCAAGTGCTAGAAGCTACGCCTTTGGGCACTGAAGGTATAGAAAGTTCTACTAGGCAGCTGGAGACCTCAGGCCAGGCTAGCCAGTTGAGCCCGCAGGCAGACCCCATGCCCAACCCACCTCATGGACAATCTGGGAGCCGTGTGCGTGCGTGCGTGTGTGTGTGTGTGTGTGTGTGTGTGTGTGTGTGAGAGAGAGAGAGAGACATGGACAATCTGGGAGCTGTGTGTGTGTGCAAGAGGGTGTGTGTGTGTGTCATGGACAATCTGGGAGCCGTGTGTGCGTGTGTGCGTGTGCGTCACATGGCTTCCAGAGGAGGGAAGGTGGTGTGGAGGGCAGGGCCTAGGGAGCCAACTTTTCCCAGAAACCTTCCCCATTCACCCAGGCACATGGAGACCTCCAGGCTGTCCAGCACCTTGGTAGGCACAGCTCTGTCATGCCACGTCCTCACCTTCCTTCAGGGCCCATCTCCAGCCAGCAGTGTCTTTGGCGGGGGTTGCTGCCAGATCCTGCCCTGGCAGTGCAAGAACTGTCCCCTCCCACCCAGGTTAGAAGAGGCCATGAGGGCCCTGTGCCCCCAGTCTCCCTCTTCAGGGCAGATAAGGCCTGACCACAAAGGCCCCGCACATACTTTGGAGCATGCGTCTGCCTTAGCTGTGACTGGCCAGTGGATTCATTCAGCAAGGATCTCCTGAGCATTGCCCACACCAGGCCCTTGGCTGGATGGCCCCACAGGGCTGTATTGGGCACCTCTCACCAGGACCAAGGGCCCATCCAGGCCTGGTCTGCATACTGGCTGCCTGCACCATGGGTCCTATTGGTCCGGCGGGGCAAGATCCCTCACAGGGCTTCCTAGGGCTCAGGTCCCACAACACCCTCGAACTGTGGCCAGCTAACAGGCTTGGTGCTCAGCTGGCACTGTCCACCTCTCACAGGAGAGGTCTTGATGGGCCTGACAGGCTAGGGCTGGGCCCTGGTGGTGGGCCCTGCAGCCTGGTGGTCCAGCCTGCTTCCAGCAGCAGTTGGGGGCACTCCTTGGGCCATTTTCCCTCTGGTCCTCACTATGTGTTGTTGAGGCTGCTTCTCTGGCAGCTAGTTTTCTTCTCCTTGCTCTTTCGGCAAGCTTTTGCTACAGCCTGGATAAACTGCAGGAGGGAAATAGGAGCTGGCCATTTTCATAGGAATGCAGTTGTGGGAAAAGATGTTCCTGCTGGGGGCTAGAGACGCACGCGGCTTCTTGCTTCTGGGCTGCTCTTTCTGGACAGCTGTAGGCATGGGTTTGTGTGTCCTTAAGGGAGGTGTTTAAACTCAGACTCATTCTTCTACTAGGATAGATGCACAGTCATCCCGCGGGTCCTCCTGGCACACTCGCTCAGGGGTGGGTGGTCGGGAAATCCAGAGGTGGGCTCAGAGAAGCTGGAGGCAGTGCTGGCTGTACAGGAAGCTGTCTGCCAGGTGACAGGCCTGGCCACTGGATCCCCAATGTGGCTCACTGTGATGTCTGTGGAAAGCCCTCCTCTCTGCGGGGGAGCCTGCCGAGCACCCCCTTTTCTGCTCCCTTGGGGCAGCTACCTCCCCCTCATACTAGGTCCTTGTGTCCACCTGGGTCCTGCAGGGCACCTGGTGACTCCCTTGCTCAATGTGGGGTAGACAGGCAGGCAGGGGCCCAGGGGGCAGAGCTCCTGTCAGAGAAGGACAACTGATCTCTAGGGCTTTCTGGTTTCTGGGTGGATGGGGCTCCTGCCCAGTCCCACCCCAGGGCAAGGCAGAGTGGCTGGGTCCTGTGAGCTGTGCCCCAAGGTGGCTGTTGTGGGACCGGGGCAGGTCATCTAGTGTATCTAGCTGAGTTGTCAACGTGGTGAAGGCCCCATCCTTTTGCGTACCAGGGGAGAGTAATTCTGGGAGGACTTTGTGTCCCTTGAAAGGCTTTTGCAGCCCATGCTGGAGCCCTTGGGTGACAGCCCTGCCCGCCTGTTCTCTTGCCCTCCACCCTGATGGTGGCCCCTGCTGAGGGAGAGGCCCTGTCTCAGTAGGGGCAGTTGGTGGCTGCTCAGCTCCTCGAGGGTCATCCTTACCATCTTCCAGGCCTCCTCCAGCAGCCTAGACCGCATGGCAGAGCAGGCAGGGACTCGGGGATCCCCTCAGCAGCTCCGGGGGGTTACTCGTGGGTGCTCGGTCACCCTGTCCCAGATTGCCTTGGGCATGGATGAGGACAGGGTGGGAGAGGGTGGCTCAGATAATGGTCCCTGCTTGTCCCCCAGGGCCTGCCTGGGCTCCAGCTAACGGGAACCCCAAGAGCTGCCATTTGAAAGGTTGGTGGAACAGTGCTGCCTTGAGCACGTGGATCCGGCCACTGCCTGGGCTGTGGTGGCGGCAGGTCTGTCTGGTGTCCTTCTCTCTGCACCAAACTCACCTCCACGTCACTTCCACAAGCAGCTTCTGAAAAGGCCCTCCAGCCTGCTCTGGCTGCCCTGAGTGGTGTATCTGGCATGGTTAGCCTTTCCGACTGCCTCTAACCTTGCTGCTTTTCCTTCCTGCTGTCCTAGGAGGTCAAAGCAAAGTAAGTAACCCCCTGTCCCAGACCCTGTTTCCCTTCACCTGAGCCAGGGAGCCCCTCCCTGCCGCGCCAGCCATCGCTGCACCTGAGGGAGTCCCTGTGTAGGACTTGGTATGCCAGGCAGGACAGTGGTGTGGCAGCTGCCCTGCACAGCATCCAGGCCTGGTGCCAGGCAGGTCCACACGTGGGGCACTGCTCCTTGCAGGAAGTGGCAACAGCACGTGGAGATGTGGCCCAAGGAAGCACCAGTCTCAGTTGCCCTGTCCCTTGTCCCTTGTCTTAGAAGTACCTTCCCCTCCCTGAGCTCCAGCTCCAGCCCATAGGCCCCAGGAGCCTGGTCTGAGGTCACTTAGGCCACTAAGGTCAGGTAGGGTATTGGTACTGGGTCAGCTTAGTGGGTGCTGCTGAAGGGGTCAGCCCAGACTTGTGCTGCTCCTTAGGAGCCAAGTGGCTGGTGAGGGTCCCTGGGGGCCTGGATGGCCAGAGAGGTCAGAGGGCAGATGGCCCTGCTTTAGGTTAGTCTGAAGCTCTAGGCCTGGTGCCCCCTCAGTGACAGTGGGTGATGTCACAATGCCCTGCCTCCTGGGCTTCCGCTCCTGCGTCCCACCCCCACCCCCATCCCCACCCCTACCCCTGCCTCTGCCTCTGCCCCATCAGCCTGGCCTTGGTAAGTGCTGCCCCAGCCTAGACAGAAAGTGAGGGGATGGCCCCAGGCCTCGTGGGTCCATTTGGCACTCCCTGCTGGCACTCACACAGGGAGCCTGACAGCCCTCCCTGAAGGACTTCAGCCTCCACCTGGGGACGCGGCTTCAAGACAGAGCAGGAGACCTTCACAGAAGGCCTTTTCCATGTATGGGATTTAGACAGGCAAACACCCACTGGTATCGTTGGAATCAGGCACTGGTTTTGTTGGGGGTGGGTGTTAGGAAAGGGTTGTAGACCCTGCAGCCAGCGGTGTGAAGGGTTTACTTCTAGGTCATAGGCTGCCCTTCCTCTGGGTGAAGACCAGGTGGGTGGCCCTGACCACAGCTGGGGGCCTGATGGATCTGCTCTCCTTTAGGTGTCACTACATGAACCCACAGAAGCAGCAGGACAATAGAGGTGTCCGTAAGGGACAGCTGCGCAGCCCCTCTCAAGTTAGCTCCTGGGTGTTGGCTAGTTGGCCCAGGCGCTCTCTGCTTTGGGGAGCAGGGCCCAGAGTCAGGTCTGGCTGGGAAGGAATCCTGTGACAGGGCACAGCCTGTCCTCCAGGGCAAGCCAACTGAGCTAAGCTCAGGGGCCCATACCTCTCCTAAGAGCAGACTTGCCCCTGGCTTTCTGGGCATAGCCATTCTTGGCCAGAGACTGCGATAGCGCAGACCCCTGTCTGTTCTTGCTGAGTAGAGTGCTGCCCCGGCGTCCTGGGCCGGCTGGCAGAGTCTATGGGGCCTCTCCTTTCCACAGCAGCACACCTGGACACCTGGGAGCAGAGTAGGGGCCCGTGTCCCCAGCAGGACCCAGGAGCCCCAGCGGGCAAGACTGTTTCTTTGTGTGGCTGTTGGTGCAGGCTTCAGAGCCAGCAGTCGCTGGTTTTGCACAGGGGCAGCTGATGGCAGAAGTTACTGTGAGCTTGAGGGAGCAACGTGTCCAGCCGGGCAGTGGAGGCTCCTAGGGCAAGAGCTAAGCCCACTGGCACATAGCAGTAGGGGAGAGCCTCACAACCTGCCTCCCGCCCTCCTGGGACTATGAGATTCCCACCATGCCACTTTAGTTTAGGTGGACCCACATGTGCAGGCTGGTCATTTCCGGGTGCAGGGCAGCTGCCTGAGGCACTCAGCTCCTTCCCTTTTATACTGGCCACTGCATCTCCCCTGCTGTCTCCCGTTAATATGACTTCCACCCCGTTCCTGGCCGCCTGGCCCCCTCCCTGGCGAGGTCACTCAGGCCCACAGAGAGGCCAGCCCTTTTTGAGACCCTCTGTGGCTGTGCTGGAAAAGGGCGCCGGTGTGGCCGTGGTGGTGCAGGTGATGTGCCCCCATGAGACCTCCCATCCTCCAGCTGCCATGTGGAGGGCGCTGGGCTTAGCATGCACAGAAACCATGGGAAGTCCGGTTCAACTTAATTTTAGGTCAACAGCGAATAAGTTTTAGTGTAAGTATGTCTCACATTTTTCATGGGACTTACTCATACTAAAAGTTCATTCATTCACGTTAAAGTCAAATTTAACTGAGCACATCCTGTTTGTGTTTTGTCTGACAACCCTCATTGGTGGTTCTGTAAGAAAAGGTTTCTATGGCCAGAGGCTTGGAAATGATGTCCTCAAGACCCTTTTTGGAGAGCTATGGTGCATGTTGCATTAGTAAAGATAGATTTTGTAGTTAAATGTATACATATATGTGTATTTATTTTTTGTTTTACTAAAAAAATGTTCCTCATGTAGGTTTGTCTTTTGAGTCCTGCATGTCTTCTCATGGAACCCCCATTGGGAAGCATCCCCAGTACCCCCTCCCTCCCCCAGACCCACCTCGCCCATTCCAGCCTGTCACCCTGCAGGGGCATGGGGGAGGTGGTGTGGCTGGTGCGTCCCCGCAGTTGGTTCCGCTCTGTTGCAACTGCCTTCTTGTGCTTGCTTTTTAACGCTACGCCTGGAAGATGAGGAGCGGGAAGGCCTCTCTTGCCCTGGAGACCGTCTGGGAAGACAAGCACAGGTATGAGGAGGCCGAGCGGCACTTCTATGAGCATGAGGCCACGCGAGCCGCCGCCTCTGCCGAGCAGCTCCCAGACGAGGCACCAGCTGTGAACGGGCCCGGCCAGGAGGATGCTGAGGATACCGATGAGGCAGAGGCCCCCGACACCAGCAGCAGGACTGATCCCAGGACAAGCTGCGATGGCAAGAAGCCCCTGCAGAAGAAGAGGAAGCACTCCCCTAAGAGCTGGCTTGGCCACGCGGACCTGGCCCTTGTGGGCCTCTCAGCCGACCACGTGTGGCTAGACAAGTCTCTTTTCGACCAGGCAGAGAGCTCCTACCACCAGAGGCTAGCAGATGCAGCCGCCCAGGCAGCCCAGCCGCCTGCTCTGGCCTCTTGGGGTCCCTGCACCCATGGAAGCCAAGTGGCCTGCCACCATGTGACCTGGGGGATCTGGGTCAACAAGTCTTCCTTCGACCAGGCTGAGCGGGCTTTTGTAGAGTGGTCTCAGACTCTGCTGCTGGCCACAGAGGCATGCAGCAGGCAAGGGACTCCTGACACAGGCCAGTGGGTAGCCACCCCCAACCTGGCCCTGGCTTGCCAGCCCAGCTCACCAGCCAACGGCCAGCCCCTGCTGGGCAGCCTGCAGGCGCTGGTGCAGGAGGTGTGGCTGGAGAAGCCCCGCTATGATGCGGCTGAGAGGGGCTTCTATGAGGCCCTATTTGATGGTCACCCGCCTGGGAAGGTGCATCTGCAGGAGCGAGCCAGCCAGGTTGAGGTCGCCCGGCGGGGCCGCAGAGATCGGCGTGGCCGCAATGCCATAGGAAGCAAGCGGGCTGGGCCACGGCGGGCCGACGGGGGGGCTCCCTCTGCCTCACCCTACTGGTACTTCCTGCACAAGGATGCGGAGGCTCCCTGGCTCAGCAAGCCCAGCTACGACAGTGCTGAGTGCCGCCACCATGCTGCTGAGGCCCTGCGCGTGGCCTGGCGCCTCGAAGCCACCTCCCTGGCTCATCGACCCAGTCCCCGGTCTGGCCCGTACATGTCCAGCCTGAGACCCAAGTAGGAGAAATGTGCTGGCCAGGGGCCTGGCCTGCTCCATGGGCACAGGGACAGTACTCCCAGGCTGGGGTGCATCATGCTTCCCTCCTCTGCCCCCCGGGGGGGGGGCTCTCCCTGAGACTCTGGACCCGGCTAAGTCGAGTACAGGAGAGGGTTAGGCCAGGGCAGTGCTCTTTCCTTTAGAGTCAGAAAGTTCTGGGCTGTCAGAGTGGGGAGAAGGAAGGGGTCAGCACAGGGCAGAATCTTGCTGCCCCTTGCAGGGCTCCCTTTTTGGCTGGGTATCTCCCTGTGTCCCTCTGGCCAGCACACACCAGGGTTGAGGAGAGGTTGCCCACAGAGCAAGTGGGGAGCATTGAGGCTGGGTTTCTGGCCCCTGAGCTCCCCTGGGGGTGAGACGTGGGCACCAGCATGGCCCTGCCTGCCCCTCTGTCCACCCCCAGCTTACCCTGTCGCCACCAGTCACTACCTCTGAGGTAAGGTGGGTACCTCAGATACAAGAGCATGTGGCCAGTGCAGTGGCCTCAGTCTGAAGAACTCCTGGTTTGTCTGATCTCCCACTGGGTGAGGGGTCTTTGCTCCGGGAGGGGTTGGGATGGGGACAAGAGAGGCAGAGAGGTGGTGAGGCCATGGGGTGCCTCGAGTGTATTTGCTGTGGGGGTAGGTGGAGCAGGGCAGGGGAGGACTCAGGGTTCCCCAACCGATGGTCCCAGTGGCTGCCTGACTCCCCAGGGGAGCAGCAGCAACCTTGGCCCCTAGACTCTGGGGGTGGGGCAGGGGGGTCTGGATTTACCAGTTGACAAGATTGAGCCTGGGGGCGGGACCCATCGAGTTTATGGTGGCCTGGCTGCTCACCAAGAACGTGCTGGTGAGGGGAGTGGAGGAAAGTTAGGGGCTTCAACCTTCTTGTTGCCGAGGGGACACTTGGCAAGGCCCAGTGTTGGCCTTGGGTCCTCAGGACAGGACATTGGCAACAGAGCAGGATCAGGTCAGTGTCTGTCGCACTTAGCAGGGCAGCAGGAAAGGCCTGACTATTCCATGGTGTGGTGGTTCAGGCTGTGCAGCCGTCTGTGTGCCCAGATGCTCTGCTCTGTGGGCATTGGGAGCACACATGGCAGCCAGTGGCCATGGCTTGGTGCCAGTGAAATGTGATTTGCACTGACAGATCAGGGACTGGATTTGGCCCACAGGATACAGTTTGCTGACCTCTGATCCAGAGCAGCAGTTCTCAAACTTTTGGTCTCAGGACCCAAAAGAGCTTTCATTATATCTACTGATTTTTACCACATTAGCAATTAAAACCGAAATGCTAAAAATGCTTAGTTGTTGGAGGATGATAATAAGCTAACATGTTTTCATGAAAAATGCTTCTCCTGTAATAAAATGCAGTGAGCAGAGAGGTCTGGTTTTATGTTGCTGCAAGTATCTCTCGTGTGTGGCTTAGTGGGTGCTTCTGTGCTCCAGCTGCTGGTGTGTGTCGTCTGCCTGATGTAAACACAGCGTCGTCTGGTTGAACCGGGGGGGGCACCTCGGGGACCCCCAGGAATTCTTGGACCACACTTTGAGAACCATTTGTCTGGGGGACAGACCTGGGGACCCTGCCCAGCACTGAAGGGAGACCATACTGGGGGCAGGAGGAGGGGATGGTGTGTGCGTTGGCAGAGGGCCGCTTGTGTGGGGAAGGGGGCTTACAGGCTTATGTCATCATGCTGAGAGCCACTCGTGTTCTCCCGGGCCTGGAGCCTTTGTCACCCAGGACTGGGGTCCATGAGCTTGCAGGATTGGGATGGCCGAGAGTCGGTGTCAGGCACTGGGGTGAGGCGTTGAAGGGCCTAGGGGCTGCCCAGGACCCCCTCCTCCCAGCCCTGCTCACTTAGTCTCTCCTTCCCCTCCCAGCAGAAAAATGGCTACAAACTTCTTAGTACACGAGAAGATCTGGTTCGACAAGTTCAAATACGATGATGCAGAAAGGAAATTCTATGAGCAGCTGAACGGGCCTGTGGCTGGCTCCTCCCGCCAGGTGAGGGCTGCGTTTGGGGCCTCTGGATGGCTCTCCTGCCCAGCAGGGCGGCTGCGGCATACCAGGAGCATCTGGCTGGGCCAGGAGAGCCTCTGGTGGCACCTGAAGGGCAGAGGCATGTTAGGGTCAAGTGGCTCTGCCCAAGGCGCTGGGAGTCGGGTCTATTAGAAGGGGGGCCTTGGCTGGCACCTGGTTGCTGGATCTGCGCTTGGCTCAGACCCAACATGAGGGATGGCATACTCCCGCTGTGTCCTGATGAGGTGGCTGGGCCCAGGCCTCAGCATGGAGTCCCTGCAGACTGCATGCAACCCCAGCCCTCTGGTCACACCCTCAAGCGCCCTCTGCTTTCCATGGTTCTGCTAAGCCTTCATTCGGCACAGTACATTCTTGCTCTCTATGTGAGGATTCTTGATCTTTTTTTTTAACTTTTTAAATTTTTTTCTCCTTTTTTTTTCTTGTATTTAAAAAATTTTTTTTAATGAAAAAAGAAAAAGACTGGTTCTTTCTGCACTGTCTGCAGGAGAATGGCGCCAGCGTGATCCTCCGAGACATTGCAAGAGCTAGAGAGAACATCCAGAAATCCCTGGCTGGAGTGAGTACCTGCAGCCCACGTACCCGTGGGCGTGTGCTCTGCCACACAGCATGTCTGATTTTCCCCCCAGTACAGCTGATTATTTTTGCCCTTTTGAGCAAAGTTAGGGTGAGCTGTTCTTATGGGGCGTGGAGCTGTGGCCTCCCAGCCCAGACTGGACCCAAACCTAGACCGCCGTGGAAGGCGTTCTCATCTCGCACCCTTCCATGCCTTTCTCGCCTGCTTGCTGGCGGTTGCCTTGGCCGCACCTGTGGTACTGGCTGTGGGCTGAGCCTGGGCTGACCTATGTCATCCTGCAGGGAGTGCGCTGCAGGTGCACACCTTGCAGGCCTGTTCCTGCCTGCTCGCTCCCTGCTGAAGAAACCTGGGGGTCTGCTGGGCCATCCTCCCTCCCTCTTAGGCCTTGCCCTCCACAGGGAGAGGGGTGGGTGCCTCACAGGTGCAATGAATTTGGATCATAGACTCAGTGCCTTCTTGAATTTGAGACCCTGATTGACCTCAGGTCCCATACTGAGATCAGGAATTCAGGGTGATGGCTGCACTTGGCTCTGCGCATGGCCTGATGGGCCGGCTGAGGAAGGTGGGCAGGCCTGCTGCTCTGGCTTCCCTACTCCAGAGGAGTCCGGACTTCATTCTCCCTCTGAGATGGGGACAGCGTTCTAGACTTAAAGGCTGGGAATTTGTTTCCTGTTGGCTGCTGTGACAGATTATCACAAGCTTCTAGCTTAAAACAACACAAATTATCATTTCAAGGTCAGAGGTAAAATTCAATCGGCAGAGCTGCATTCCTTATGGAGGTTCCAGGAGAGAGTCCTTGCCTTTCCCAGATCCAAGAGGTTGTCCACATTTCTTGTGTGCCCCAGCAGGCAGTCCCATCCCTCCACCCTCTGCTTCTGTCCTCACATTTCTCGCTCTTTGACCCTTCTGCCTCCCTCTGTCACTTTCCGGGATTCTTGTGATTGCATCAGGCCTACCCAGATAGTCTCTCCATCTCAGAATCCTGAACTTAATTACATGTGCTAATTCTCTTTTGGTACATAAGGTAAGGGAGTCACAGGTTCTGGGGGTTGGGACATGGGCATCTCTGGGGTGCCATTCTGTCTACCACAGTCTACCCTCTGGCCCCCAAAGATTCACATCCATTCCACACACAAATGAATTTGCCCCACACCAACATCCTCAAAAATCTCCACTGTTTACAGCGTCAACTCAGAGTCCAGAATCTCATCTGAATCATGCATGGGGGAGTTGTGGTGTGATCCATCCTGAGGCAAAATTCCTCTCCACCCGTGGACCAGTGAAAGTGGAAAACAAGTTCTCTGCTCCCAAAATACAATCGTGGGACAGGCAGAGGGAAAAATTTACTGACATTCGCATTTAAAAAGGGAGACAATGGAAAGAAAAATTTCAGAATCCACCCGAGCAAACTGTGTTAGGTTTCAAAGCCTGAGCACGCTCCTGCCCTGCCCTGGAGTCAGTTTTCATAAAAGATAGCACTCACTTGCTGTTGAGAAGTCTTAGCAGCAGTACATAGAATTTTGGGGGTCTGCAGCCTCCTTCAATTTCATCTTGTCTCCTTTTTGGCCCAAGCTGTCAGTGTTTCTGCCAATATAAATTTTTCAAGAGCTCTGTGGGTTTCCTGTATATGTCACAGGGGCCCGCACTGGGAAGCCAGTGGCTCCTTCATAGGTCTTGACTAGATGATCCCAGCTCTGTTCTCGCTCTGGTTGAGATGGCTGTGGGGATCCATGGGTCAAACACCTGCTCTCTCTGGGTGACCATTTGAATACTCTGGCCTTTTTTTTTTTTTTCCTTTTTGTCTTTTTTACTGACCGGTAACGGGATCGCAACCCTCGGTGCCACGCCCGTACCGGGGACCAGCAACAGGATCGCAACCCTCGGTGTCGCGCCCGCACCGTGCTCAGCCAGTGAGCGGGAACCGATGCCCGTACCGGGGACCAGCAACAGGATCGCAACCCTCGGTGTCGCACCCGCACCGTGCTCAGCCAGTGAGCGGGAACCGGTCTCCACATGGGATCCGAACCCTCGGCGGGAGCGCCACTGTGCTCCCAAGCAGCGCACTCTCCAGTGCACCACCGGGCCGGCCCTGCTCTGGCCTTTTTGATCCTCCTCAGGCCCTCCAGCCGCCCTCAGGTTTTGCTCCAGCACGTGCTCTCCTGTCAGTGAGTTGCCTTGTAGTGTCTTATGTAAGTTGGGGAAGCTGAGGTTTCCAGATGGCAAGTCCTAGTTCCTTTTTGCGTAACAGTTCTTGCCTCAGCCTCCGTCCTCTCCTGTTTTACTAGAAGCTGCAAGAAGAAACTAGGCTGTAGTGTCCATGCTTTGCTTAGAAATCTCCCCAGCTGGGGCCGGCCCAGTGGCTCACTCGGGAGAGTGCGGTGCTGATAACACCAAGGCCCCGGGTTCGGATCCCATATAGGGATGGCCGGTTCGCTCACTGGCTGAGCGTGGTGCTGACAACACCAAGTCAAGGGTTAAGATCCCCTTACCGGTCATCTTTAATAAAAAAAAAATAAAATAAAATAAAATAAATAAATAAAAAAAAGAAATCTCCCCAGCTGAAGACCAGAGCTTATCACTGAGCTGTCCTGCTTTCCACACACTGGGGGGCTCCATATTTCTGCCAACAGTCTGTTAAAGGCAGTCCAGGGTTTTTCTGCCAGGCTTCCCAGAGTCTTTCCAGGTCCAGCCCCATCTGCTGCCCAATTCCAAATCCACCTCTACATTTCTAGGTGTTTGTTCCAGCAGCACCCTACTTCCGGGGCCAAGATCTGTGTTAACTTCCAGTTGATGATGCTGTAACAAATTGCTACAATCTAGTGGTTTAAAAGCAGAAATTTTTCATCTTACAGTTCTGGAGGTCAGAAGTCTGAAATCCATCATATGGGGCAAAATCAGGGTGTCAGCTGGTCTGCGCTTTCTGGAGAGTGTAGGGGAGGATCTGTGATCTCATCTGGTCCGTCTCCTCCCCGTCCTACCTCTCTTGTGTGGACCCTTACGGTGCCATTGGGCCCACCTGTATAATCCAGGATCATCTGCTATCTCCAGATCCTTTGCTTAGTCACGTCTGCAGAATCTCTTTGCCATGTGAGGAAATGTATTTACAGGCCCTGGGGATTCAAATGTGGACATCTTGGGCCATTTTTCTGTCTCTCACAGCCAGTTGGGGCACCCCCTGGGTGGGTGTCCCCTGGAAGCGGTGCTGTGGCTGACAGGCCAGCCCTACTTCATGCGTGGTCCCTGCCTGCTCCCGCCTTGCCCTCTGCCCACCCTCGTCCCACCAGTCCAGTACCCTGTGCTTACCGAGGCCTCTGGCCAAGTTCAGACCAGGCAGACACAGCATCGAGGTAGCACAGGTTTTTGTGCCCAGGCCAGGTGTATTGAGCTCTAATACCCATAAAGCAGTGGGGCTGCAGGAACTCCGGCCTAGCTGTGTTGGGGTCAGCTGCCACGTCCTGGTCTTAGGGACAGGCAGGTGGGCATGCTGTTAAGACTCCGGGGCTGTTGGCTAGGACTGCTGTAGTAAAGTGTGGCAGGCCGGGCAGCTGAAACCACAGACGTGTGTTCTCTCCCAGCTCTGGAGGCTGGAGTCAGATCCAGCTGCAGTAGGGCAGGTTTCCCCTGAGGCCTCTCTTGGCATGTAGACAACGTCTTCTCCCTGTGTCTTCACATGGGGGGTGGTGGTGGTGGTGGTGTGTGTGTGTGTGTCTCCTAATCTCCTCTTCTCATGAGGACACCAGTCCTATCAGATCAGGGCCCCTGCTGACCTCATTTACCTCGATCACCTCTGTGAAGGCCTTGTCTCCATGTCCACTCACATTCTGAGGTACTGGGGTCAGGACTCTAAAATACGAGTTTGGAGGGATGTTATTGAGCCCATAACAGGGACCCAGGAAGGACATTGCAGCTTAGCGTCATCGTGGATTTGGATGGGGATGGTGCTCAGCAGATAGCGGACTTCAGAACCACAAGGGTTCTGGGAACTGTGTGGGGTGCCAGCATCGGATCAGGGGCGGTCTGGGTTTGAACCTTTGCCTGTGGCTGTGAGGTGGCTATCTGCAGCCAGCTCTTACAGGCTGTGACTGGACTGGGTGATCTGCGCCTGCCCTGTTGAAGATATACTTGGGGACCCTGGACCCCTGGCTTCCTCATTCCCCACCTGAGTGGGGAGGCTGCAGATAGGGAGGCTCCAGCGCTGGCCTGAGAGCTATGGCTTTGGCCGGTGGCATGCAGAGCCAGGCAATAGTGAAACGACCCCCACTGCCCCATCCTGCAACCCAGGGCCTCCCAGCCGTGTCCTTGCCAGGTCCCCTCCCTGCCAGCCCTTCCCCAGGTCGCGTGCTGATTTGGTGCCTCTTTCAGAGGGGACCTTTTCCCTGTCCTCAGGCCTGCTGTGTGGGGTGAGTGAGGCCCCCAGTGCCCTGGCCCTGCTGCTCCCAGGCTCTGACTCTGGGGAAGGTGCTAAAGCTTCTGAGGGCACAACCCCGCTCCCTCAGGAGCTCTGCTGAGGGTCTCCACACCGCCCTCCCCCAAACGTGGGCCTCTGGTGCTCCACCTTCTGCCCCAGGGGCTCTCAGGGTCTCTGCCAGCCCTGCCCACTTTCTCTCAGCTCTGCTCTGATCCCGTCCTTGCCTAGAGCTTGCTCTGCAGGGCTCAGCCCTTGCACCCTTAGTGTCTGGCTCCTGCCTGTGCTCAAGGGGTGGCCACTCAGTGTTGGTTGTGCCAAGGGCTGTGACAGGAGGTCCCCAGGGGCAGGGCCAGCAGGTAAGGGCCTGTGAGAGTGTCTGCTGCCTGCTACAGAGACTGGGTTCATCTGCTGAGTCACACCCCAAGGAAGCCCTGGGATGGGGGCCTGCTGAGGGGGTCAGGCTGGGACCTCTGTGCGGCCAGGTGCACTGTCTTCAGAGCTGTCCCATTGGGTGTGGGCCGTGTTAAAGGTCCTCACGTATGTGTACAGATCCCTGAGGACTGGGTAGCATCTGGAGACAGGAAGCTAGAAGCCTAGCTGGGTCCCCAGGGGTAAATCAGGCTGAGCTGTGGCCGACTGTGCCTCCCAGAGCCTTCAGAGGCTGGTTCAGTGAGCCAGGCGGAGGTGTGTGCCAGGCGCTGGGCTGGCTGCATCCCGCACAGCATGCTCCATCTTTCTGCCCTGCCGAGGCTCTGAGTCAGGCTGCCCCTAAGACTGTAAGTCCTGCCGCACCCCACCCAGCTTCTGAGTTTGGCTGCTGGATGGGACCCCACTGGGGAACAGCAGCCATGGCTCTGAGCTCTGCACCACCTGGTGTCTGGGTTGTCCTCGGCCCTCTGCTTGGCTGAAAACGTCACCATGGTCTGTAGAAGCCACCCTTCCTGAGGTCAACAGGCCTTCAATGCTAGACAGGGAGGGGCTTCCTGCTCTCCCTCACCTGAGTTTTCCTACTGTGAGTTCCAACACAGTCCTGAGCACAGCAGTTGGACCCAGTGGGGCTGACAGGAACCTCAGGGTTCTGCTTCTGAGCAGCTGTGAATGAGGGGACCCTGAGAGCAGGCTGGGGTACTGAGCCCTTCCCCACTCCCCGTGCCTTGCAGAGCTCAGGCCCCGGGGCCTCCAGCGGGCCTGGTGGCGACCACAGCGAGCTTGTTGTCAGGATCGCCAGCCTGGAAGTGGAGAACCAGAACCTGCGAGGCGGTGAGGCAGGGGCCTGGTGGGTGGGAGGCCCACACCAGCCCCTGCCACCTGACCTGTGTCCCCCTTGTCCCTGCAGTGGTGCAAGACCTGCAGCAGGCCATCTCCAAGCTGGAGGCCCGGCTGAGCCTGCTGGAGAAGAGCTCGCCCACCCACCGGGCCACAGCCCCACAGACCCAGGTGAGCACACTCCCCAAGACCGGGCACTGTAGAGGAGCTGGAGGCTGGGGGCCTGGTGTCCTCAAGGCACAGTGAGGTTTACAGTGATGCCCAAGATAAGCCCAGGGCAGGGTGGGATAGTCCCCATCTCCCAGGGCCACAGCTTGGGCACCTAACCACTGTCCTCTTCGGGCGGCTTTTCCGACAGTTGGCTGAGGAGGGAGCTGGTTGGCAACCCACCCAGGCAGCTCTGGGGCACCGACTGGGTTTCAGCCTCTCCTCCCCTGTGGCAGCATGTGTCTCCCATGCGCCAAGTGGAGCCCCTGGCCAAGAAGGCAGCTACGCCAGCAGAGGACGATGAGGACAATGACATCGACCTGTTTGGCAGTGATGAGGAGGAGGAGAACAAGGAGGCGGCACGGCTGCGGGAGGAGAGGCTGCGGCAGTACGCAGAGAGGAAGGCCAGGAAGCCTGTGCTGGTGGCCAAGTCCTCCATCCTCCTGGACGTCAAACCCGTGAGTGGGGCTGGGCGGGGCTGCGCGGAGGCCAGCCGGCCTGTGCCTTCGCTGCCAGTGGGGGCCCGTGGCTGCCCTGGAGGCCCAGACTCTGACCCTCCCCCTGCCCTCTTGGGTCCGGGTGGGATTTGGGTCTGCGCGGAGGCCAGCCGGCCTGTGCCTTCGCTGCCAGTGGGGGCCTGTGGCTGCCCTGGAGGCCCAGACTCTGACCCTCCCCCTGCCCTCTTGGGTCCGGGTGGGATTTTAAAGCCAAGTTGAGAAATCTTGGGATAAAAATAGAAACTTGGAGGCAGGGTAGGTATAAATTTGGACTTTTCTGAGTGCTCATTAAAGGAATAATTATGTGCTCCAAGGTCCTCCCCTGGAGTTCTGGAGGATTCTGAGGATGGCTGACCCCAGCCTTTCCTTCCTCTTTCTCCAACAGTGGGATGATGAAACAGATATGGCCCAGCTGGAGGCCTGTGTGCGCTCCATCCAGCTGGATGGGCTAGTCTGGGGGGCCTCCAAGCTGGTGCCCGTGGGCTACGGCATCCGAAAGCTGCAGATCCAGTGTGTGGTGGAGGACGATAAGGTGGGGACTGACTTGCTGGAAGAGGAGATCACGAAGTTTGAGGAGCACGTAAGTGCCGGGGATATGGAGTTGGGGCCACATGGGCAGGGAGAGGAGACTGGGCTGACCCTGGGGGCCTCATGCCCCGCACCTGCTGCCCCAGTCAGTGGGGAGTGAGTCCTACTGAAGAGTAGGTTGCTGGCCAGGCAGGGAACAGGAGTGGGTGGGCCTCAGGGAAACGACCCCATGACAATCGCCCTCCACCTCTCCTTAGGTGCAGAGTGTGGACATTGCCGCTTTCAACAAGATCTGAAACCCGAGCGTGAGCGTGTGTGTGCAGCCCTCTGGTGATTAAAGACTGAGACTCTGGCGCTCTGGCTCCTGTGCTGGTCATTTTGGGGGCAGCACTCTGCCAGGCCCCAGGCCTGCACCTGCTTTCACCTCCCTGCACGGTGGTCCCAGTGCCCACCCCCATCCTCCTCTTGGCCTCTCCACAGTCTTATGTGGCCTCTCTCTGCTCCAGCCTTCTCAGTCTTCATGATTTTCTTTGCAAGTGACAAGTCCAGTTCAGGCTAAAGCCAGAAACAGTCTGTTCGGTCATTAACTGCAGAGGGGCCACCTTTCCTCACTCTGCCCCCCAGGGAGCAAAAGTGCAAGCTGGAAGTGTCCAGGGAAGAGAGGTCCCAGCGGGTGTCACCTCCCCCCCCCCCCCCCCCC